TAAATATAGTTAAATCTTTTTATAATCATATTCTTTATGTTAATAATTTGGTACTTATAGAGAATTTATAACTATATAGAGGTTAAATTTTATAAGTATTATATAAGCTGATTTTAAAATTTATATAATTATAAGCAAATATAACTATAAAGAAGATGACTATAAGAAGAGTTGACTATATTATAAATATTATATAAATATAGGTTAAGTATTATATTATTTAGTATAGATCTGAAAAGATAAGATTTATATTTTGTTGCAATAAAGTATTTGGATAAGATTAGATTGTATGTAATATAAGAAAAAATAGTATAATATAATCTATATTTCAAAATTAAGATAATTACTGTATTAATAATATAAGTGATTTATTTGTTAATAATTTTCTTTATACTAATAATATTAATAAAATTGAAAACTTCTTTTTTTATTAGTTTAATAACTTGAGATTGTTTATTGTTAAATATAAACCAATATTTAAGAAACTTAAAAGATTAGTTTTAGGAATAAAATAAATTAAAGATTTAAAAAACTATATTGAAATGTTAAAGAAATTTGTAATTAAAAATAGATTTGATAAATATTGATTATTTGATAAAAAAATATAACAGTTTTAATTATTAGATTAAGTTTCTTTTTGGATTATATAATTTTAAAAGATATTATCTATATAGACTAAAACTAATACAGATATTTTTAAAATTTAGATTTGAAGTGGATGTAAATTAGTTTTCCAAGATGTAGACAAGAAATATTTTAAAAATTGTAAAACAATTTTATAAATTAGAAGATTATAGTAAATTTTCTAAAATAAAGAAGTTATAATTTTTTTTAATCTATATTAATTTAACAAAATAAAAATTGGTAATACTAAGATTAGATATAACCTAGTTTTAATAGTTAATAAGAAGATTAATAAGTATATTGATAAGAGGTTAAGGCATACTTGCTATATTGACTTTGAAAAGTTAACATTTTGAATATATATTATGTTTTGTTTATTTAAAAAAATATATAGATATTGATAATCTGTTGTTTGTATTAATATATTTAGATTTTTTGTTTAAATTAAAATTATTTATATTTATATAAATTATATATAATATAATAAATAATTATATTTGCATAACTTTGGTAAAGTTTGTAGCTAAGAATATTCATGCCCTAAAGGGTGCTTTAATCATTAGAAATCTAAAAAACATATTTTATATAAAGTTTATAAAAAGCCTACTAGTTCTAAACCTGGATTATATAAAGCTTATGCTAAAGAATATTATGTTATAAAATGTACAAGGCTGCCAAAGTAAGAAAAAAAATCTCGAATTATTATGTCAAAAATTTATTTTATAAAATTAAATAAATGACCGAAAATAATATTCTTTTGAGGTAAAAGTTTCAAACCTCACACAAAAAAATTAAGTATCTTTAAAAATAAACCATCAACAATCATAGAGTAACGAAGCATGAAGATTAATTTCAGCCAATCAGAAACCCTGCTGACTAGCCAATAAAAACGACCTTCTGTTATGCATTCTGGTCTATAACCATTTTTCTTTTTCTGAAAGTTTTTTTTTAGTTTTAAGAATAACATTTCAGAAAGATGGTTTTTGGTTTCTAAAACCGCAACCCGAACCTATATTTTGGTTTCGGTCCTGAACCTAGTTTACGAATATCGTGATGTAGTGAGAAGATTAAAAATCACATGCGCCACGCATCACAGGCACATATAAATAGTATTTTAAACGTTGATCTACATTACTTGTCACACCATCATTTCTAGATGGTACTTAAAAAAACGTCAACTTTACAATCCAAATTGTTCAACCTAAAGGGTTGGTTTTAAAAAAGCTATGCAAACTATCTAATTTATAATATTTTAATGTAAAATATTTCAATAATGAAACTATGCTCATATTATATTAATTTATTATAAACCTACCAAGTGAAGTGAACAGTGGGTGGATAATACGAACGATACGACCTAATTAATAACAACGTAAAGACAATAACGCGTCTTGGTTGGTAATAGTACTGAAAATGGAATTTTTATTACATTATTATAAAGAGTGATATACGAAGTTTCGTTGCTATGTATATATTGAATTTCCTTAATATGATTGGCCAAATCAGCAATGTAATGAGGTTTTGTTTAATGAGCATTACAAATCGGTTCATCAGCTTTATTGATTAATCAGTTTTACTATAATTATTGATTAATCAGTTTTACTATAATTAATATACAAACCAGTCAAGCCGGTTTGCATCTCTATAATATTTGATACACAATGTATTACGAAATACATAACGATGATGCATCAAATGAACACTGCACACACGTGATTTAAACGACCAAGTTAACCTTTATAGATGTAGCATGGCCAACATTAGGACCGGGTTAGAGTTAATATGGCGAGATTAAAATTACAACAATTTATACAACAGTATTTATAATACCAGTATAAAAAGGTTCGCCGACCAATCAAATTTCGAGATCAGGTGTAACGTGAAAAAAGTATAAAACTAAAACAATACAAAAGTCGTTCGTACCTAAAATTTTGTCCATGAAACTGCCTTCTGCGTATCAATAAAAAATTTTCCTTGCAAAATTTTGGTATAACTATAACCCTCTAAATCCAACCTACTTGCAATACCCTAACCCTAACCTAATAGCGAAATGTTTTTTTTGGCGAAATTTTTTATAATAAGATCACATGACGTGCGAAATTTTTTTACTAGTTATAATAATTTATACCGACAAATTAACCACTTGGTAATTCCAAAGGTTTTCATATTACATGTTCGTTAGTTATCCATAATTCCGACGCCTCCCGATAATTTTCGAACCTTCTAACTTGCAACCGATATGTTGCTACCAAGAACTCTCTATATTACGTATTTTAATATATATATTGGATGTTTTATATTTAAATAAATGGTGCAAACAAGTAACTTCTAATTATCTGAAAAGGTCAAACATAATGAAATCCCATTATATGAAGAAGTTTAATAAGTTAATCACGCAAGAAAAAAAAAATCATGATCAGCAATACACTGTAAACAAAATGATCAACAATACACTGTTGCATTACTAACTCAAAGATCTAGTCGTTGCTCCAAGGAGACGCTGTCCCGGTCACGTGAATGATGATCACTCTCCTATCGATCTATCGATCGGGGTAAAATCGGCACCAAGAAAGTTCTGAAAAACAATTCATCATGATTAGGATCATGATAATATTGATTAAATATTAACATAATAAATTTAGTAAGTAATTTTTTCTTCGGTTCTTCAAAGTGAAAAACGATTGTTTATTTGAATAAAAGGTTTTTATAATTCTGAATTCAGGACGCAACAACAAAAAATTATTGAAGAAAGCATAATGAATCCAAATAGTAACAAACGGCTTGATAATATTAATAAAAATTTTGTGGCATTGCATCAATTGGAGGATTATTATTATTTTAAAAGGTAATGCAATGTCCAAAACACTTTATATTGAGTTATTCGAAACAAATAAAATGATTAATTTATTGCTTATCGGTATTATTTTGTTAATCTAAATTTTTGGTTATATTTTTTTTGTTAAATAACATGAATTTTCAGTGCTTAGTATATTTGTCACGTGATGTTCGAAACTTTTTTGAGTGGTGATTTTGCCCCGATCCTTTCATTTTCCAGACAACCACTTTTCCGAATATCGATAAATTAGCTGGACTAGGTTAGTATTAGGATTAGTTCTGGTCAACTTTTGTCGGGATTTTATTTGTTGGAAAAATTGTTGTCGAAAAATGATAGAGACTCCTTGCAACCAATCATTTTCGCATGTATTTGTTGTACAAAAATATAAAGAAATAATTTACAATGGAGCTTTGATCCGAATTGTTTATGCCAAATTTTTATACAAAAACTTCGCCAGATTGCTTTTTTAGAAGCTCAACTTATTGTATAAACGTTAGTATCGAGTGGGATCAAACGTTTCACCAATTTACTAGAAATGGTTCTAACATTGTTAGTACATAAAATGAAATAACTAAAGAAAATTAATATTTCCTTTTGAGTAATGTTTTAAGTAAATGTTTCGAACTTTACATAAGCGAAGTTAAAACTAATGTGTATACATTATAGGAGTGATTTTATTGATAATGATAACGTAAAAGTCCATTAATTTTTTGACCAATCAAATCCTTGCCGATCAACCAATAGAAACAACCATATGTTTTTAATAAGCTTTGAACGAAGTTAAGTTAACTACCAGTCAAATTAGGCTTTTTTATTTTATTCTACAGCTTTTAGTTTTGAAATAGATAAAAAAAAATTTATAATCAAGTTAATTAGATGGTTATTTTAGCATCTATAAATAAATCGTAAAATCTAGCTGCAGTTTCCTTTCCAGTAGGATTTTAATTGCTTAAAAACATTGAACTACATAACGTAAATACCGCCTACAAGATTGTTGACTGTGAGCAGCCAACAATTTCACGTGATTCACAAAAAATTGGCCTCTCACTAGATTCATATTTCTAATGATATTCGGATATTCGGCTAAGTAAATAGATAGATTATTATGAAATCAAGTTTTATACAATGTATTCCCAAAAAATATAATGATACAAATTTTTGATTTACTGAATCAAATTAATATAAGATAATAATGATAGGTGGGTGGTCTACCAGTTAGTAGTTTACAGGTTTCCTATATATTTACTAGCTTAAATTAACTAACATAAACTGGTCAAATAGTCTCTATACCAATATTTAAAGCATTAACAGTTTTATCAAAGTAAAGGAACTCAATCTTCTATGTTCAAGTAACACCAAGAGAATAAAGGCTATGAATCCACACTTAAAACTCATTATTAATCCTCGCGCAGGATGCACATTACCATTTATCATCCTTAACTTTAACTTTTTAAAATTAGATCGACAGATTGGTAAAAAAAATTTTTTTAGGTTCATTGCTCGTGTGAATACACCACATATATACTAACTTTGGGATTCGATGGAGATAATTGTAGAACGGATAATTAAGATTGAGCAGTCTAAAAGGTATAACCACTAATTTCATATAGTATATATTAATTAACAGTAGAAAAAAAAGTATAGACTTGTTTCTAAACCAAAATAATCTATATTTCTTTCCCATCTGAATCAATAATGGTAATATTTTATTCATAATTTACGCCACTGCAAAAGTAGCCTTGTACGTACGAAGTTATATTAACTGCTCAAAAATAATTTCACATAAGGTGTAACGTTATACGATATATAAAAATTCAATCCGTCTTGTATAAAAAAAATAGATGTTCTCTTATTTTTCCTTAATTTCATTTCCTTTGAAAAATATTTTTTTTATTCCGCTTTTTGAACATCTACAATCCTATAATAATAAAAAAAAGAAGATGTTAAAATTCATCTGAATGAATTTTCAATATTAATTTACCTTTTTACGAATTTAAACCTTTATTCTTTATTGGGCGATGCTTAAGAAAAATTCTTTTTAGAGCATAAGGCACAAACAATCAATACGACATATTTATAATAATTTATTTCTCGAAATTTACAAGAACATTCATGTAATTTAATTCATCCGTACAGGCTTTAGTAATTTTTTTTTAAAAGGCAACGCACGGATAAGCAATTTTTTATCATATTACAATCATATATGCACGCTCTGTAAATGCACACCCTATATAAATGTACTCTATATCTCAGTCCCAACTACTCTCCTTAAATGCACACTTTCTACAAATGCGCACTTATGGTTGGTCCCAAGGTGGGTACATATATAGAGGTTTGACTGTATCTCATAAAACTAGCTGTCTACACACGATTAGTGACTTATATATTAAAATATATAATTGGTTCTGGCCTTAATATTAATTATGTAAAGCCAGGACTATTGGCAAATTAATGACTGTTGAAAAGGATGAAAACTGCTTTTAGTGTGTTTTTGTTCTATTTAAAATAAAGGAAAATCATGGTTTTTAGAGTCGAGTAAGGTAGGTAGGTCTTTTTTTTTCCTTTCTCCAAACTTTGCAAAGTGACATATGGGTCAATGTTGATTTTATAGACATTGTGTAGTCTATATGATTACGCGATTGTTATTGACCAAAAGAGTCATAGTTATATATCTACTGATTCATATCTCTCTTCATTCAGAAAATGTTATACGTTTTTTAAAGCCGCATCGTGTGAATGTAGAAAGTGAGAATGAATACTGATATGCAAAAAGTAGACTATAAATAATAAGGTTGTGATCTCATGAAATCCGGTGCTTGTCCAAGTAAGGAAAACTGATCACAGAATATTTCCAATGAAAAAATACGTATGTACATCTGTGTGCACTAAAATTATCCTGCTTGCGAAAAAAAAACGAAGCCTAGATCATGTGATCTATGATTCTTCGATCTGATGTATACCAATCAAATTTCGAGATTAAGTGCACCATGACCTTCCTTTCAAAATCGATGTTCAATCCTGGCCCTAATGATAAACTTTATTAATAGTTTAGCTTTTAGGTATTCATTTCGGAAGGTTTGAAGATGATCTGTCCCGTACAGGAGCGACCGTTCAAATACGTAGATGACTCTGATTTCATTACACGTGATTATCAACCAAATAATATCTCGAATTTTGGCAAATCGACAAAAAAAAAAAGGTTGAGGGATTCACGGGGATTCAAAGAATATTTTATAAGAAGTGAAAACATTAATTCATCCGTAATGTAACCCGTATAAAAAAAAATTATTTATAAATTGTGTAACCATATCGGAATTACATTTGACGGTCGCTCCTGTTTATGCAAGTGGTTATAAGCACTATTTTATCAAATTCTTCTATAATTCGCTCTTTTTATGATTCTTTGATAAAAAATGAATTCTTCCAAGTACCTAATTTTTGGTTTTTCTCCTAATTAATGCAATAATATCTTGTTATATAATCTGACGCGTGTACTATCGCATAAGCTAAAATTATTATGTAATTCTCTCCATTGCTAATAAATATACCTTTGCTTTTTCATATTTAGTTACAGGTACCAACTGCAAGTCGTTCAAGAGCCTATACGAGCAAGAATGTGTGGTTTCGGTGATAAAGACCGCCGTCCAATAGACCCACCTCCTGTTATTAAACTTCTCGTGTCCACCGCCGATGGAACCCCTGTATCTGAAAGGTAAATAATAGGTCTTCGCTTTATTTCTCTTTTACATTTAGTGAGTATGTGCATACTTAACAAAAAATAAAGGAATAATCAATATATGAATGTTGAACAGACTTATCAAGGCATAAAAGAATAATTCAATATGTGAATTTGAACAATTAATCGCGTTAATTTTATGATTATATAATTGTATGACGTTATTATAGTTCTATTGATCATACTACTATGATTGTTCTTGCTGGACTGTGGTCTGAAGATTGTAAAGAAGATCGCAGTCTTGTAATTAATCCATCTTCCATTCCCGCACATTCTTCTGGCTCGAATTCAAGTATTATGTCACTAAATGCGCCATTGAGCACACGGAATCTTGTGGGTCAAAGTACTTCGTCCGCATATGTGCTCAATGATCATATGAATCAATTAGGAATTTTTTTTATATTTCACGACTTGTCAGTTAGAACGGAAGGTACCTTTACTCTGAAATTTTCGTTCTGTGACGTCAAAGAATTACTAATCCAGTAAGTTATTGACAATCATAAAACCCTGCATTTGCTGTTTATGTCACATTAATATTAAACCAAATATTTATTTAGTTTGACTTTTTTCTTTGTTTAAAAATTTATTGTATTTAATTTATTAAAGCTCACAGAACGGATTTACGAACTCTCGGGGAAATGTAGCTGCTGAAGTATATAGCTCTAGTTTTAGAGCATATTTCGCAAAAAAGTTCCCGGGTATGACAGGTATATTATTTCCGAATCATCGTTTCAGGTTTTGAACCAGTAAATTTCCGACAAACAAACAAACTTAATTTTATGCTTAAATATTACATCAGAATCGACTGCGCTTTCTAAAGCTTTCGCTAAACAGGGAATTAAAATCCCAATTCGTAAGGAATCTCGTTATCGAAGAGCCAGCGACGATTTACCTGACCAAACAAACGAAATCGCTACTCCTTCAACATCATATACCGCTTCTAATAATGCACCTAATGACATTGAATCTGATGATCAGGATGATGTCATCGTAGAAAAACAGGAACCTTCGGAAGATTATATTGACGTTCTTTCTGATACTGCGCATGAAGATAATAAGGAATATTTAATTGAAAAATGGCAACGAATGCCTAAATAGCCAACTAGTTAATTATATTTTACTACAACACTAGGTAAAGTCTCATCTTTCTTATGCTTTAAATGTTTCTATCGTTAATTATTATATCTCATATCTTATATTATAGCCTTTCAATCCGAACATTTATTTCACAAAAAACTATCTCAATTACATAAACATATCCACCGCATTTTTATGCACTAAGAATTTATCGTATCTTAGGCTAATTCAAGCGTATTAAAAATTCAAAAAATCCTTTCAAGTATCGCAGATTAAATATGATACCCGATTAGAAAATTAAGTTATTCGTTATTTTTCGTTCTAGAACCGTGTTATACAAAATACGTTTGTATAAGATGGGTTCAAGTAAGTATAAATAAAACGAAAATCTTCAGATATATGAAAAATATTTAAGAATAAAAAAGAATCCTTTACTAGTTCTTTAAGTGAGAATGACAAATTTTTTAAAACAAAATATCTTTCGTTTTTGCTAAGAAAATGTGTGATTCATTTAATCGGTTATTTATGAATAGTTGGATATTTATGAATAGTTAGAATCAGAGTGACATATTATCTTACAAGAGACACAAAAAAAACCAAACTTTTTCCTATTATGCTAAACCAGATTGCTTTTTTTAGAGGAAGAAAATTGTTTATGTATTTTGCAATGATCAGTAAAATACAAATTATTCGCGTGTGGCACAGCACAAATTAATGAGAAAAGAGTAAAACAAAGTATTGTATTACTAAATATCAACAGATTTACGCCAATACGCGTTTTGAAAAATATATATATATATCAACAGATTAATAGTGAGGTTGAAAGGATACTTTATTTTTTGCATTTGAGGAAATGTTTTCGAGCGTCTTTTGAGGGTTAGAAGATCGCAAGATCACCCGATTTTAGGGATTTCAAATATTCACACGTGAACGAGGGCGTGATTCTAAATCATTACATGAGCATGTCTAATTACATGTGACATGTTACTAACTATTTTTCATGTGATGACTTAGCATCACGTCTCGTGCCCTATGTGATGACTTTCCGTGTTCAACCTTATTTTATTATTGTCAATTTAATGATTACTTAGATTTTAGAAAAAAAATTCTATAATGTGTATAAGCTTTTGCTAACAATTATTTGCTAGCGGGTAAAGTTGGCCAGATTTAGATTAAATTTACAGTTAGTGTTGGCTAGAGGGTGAATTTTACCAACTATATTAACAATTTTATATAATATCTCCATATTATCCGGCACCTTACTATGATCGTACCAACAGAATAACTCGAGTTATTTTGATGATGATCGCATCATTATCAA